GAATCACATTTCACGCAGATTGACAGAAGTAAACTAGATAGTTGCAACTCAGAACCAGAAGCATGTATATTGCCTGACAGGTTTGAGCCAGATGGTGGTATCGTGAATCTTGAGTCGTATATTGCACATGGTTCGGATGGTGGCTATGTGAGACCAAAATCGTGTATAATACAGAATAGTGTGCTACCTGTCAGAACTGAACTAGATAGTGGCAACTTGAAACCAGAATCATGTTTGGTACATAATGATGCCAATGGTGGGTCAGATAGAGGCAAGACAAAATCATTAAAAAGAAGAGTCATTTTGCCATTTATAACCTCACCAGATGAATTTCACACCCCAGGTTATATTAATTCCTGTAAAAATGTACGTAAATCGTCAACCTTGTTTAAAAAATATGATTCAAACATTGTTTTGGAATCAGACTGTCAATCTGACATTTCTGATTCTGAAATTTCTTTTCCATTTCTGCAATCTAAATGGGATAGAAGTAAAAATGTTGTTAAAGTTAGACTTCTTACACCTGTACAAACTAAGGTTAAAACACACGCTTCAATGGCAGTAAAAACTGCAGCTACTCATGACAATGAAGATGAAAATGATAGTGAAAACTTTGAAGATGACTATGACGATTCTGATGCTGATCCTACTTATGAACCAAATTCAGATTGTAAGTCAGATGTATCTTCTTCTTGTGAATTAGATATGCATAGTATCAGTGATGTGAAAACTACAGGACATGACAAGCCATGGATGAAATCTAGCATAAGCCCCAAAGATAAAGCTTGCCAATCAGCTGCTATCTGTCAAAGTAGTGATAATTGTCCCAATAGTATCATTGTTCCTGATCTGTCGGATTGTGACTGTGTCACCATTGTCATCAAAGTTTCATGGGAAAGAAAACAAGAATCATCAAAATACTGAGCTTTCTGCAGCTGAAATGAGCATAGAGTTTGTGAAGTCTTCAGAAAAAAGAAATCTGCCTAGTACATCATGTACTACAAAGAATCCTAAGAATGACATCCAAATCAGTTCTGTGAATCCTTCCTCGGTGCAGGTTCAAATAACAAATAATTCCAATAGGAAAAGAAAATGGGACAAATTTGCTTAGTATACTGTGTTTACTGCATGAACAAATATCCAAAGTTACCAAGGCATTTTGAGAATAAACACAGTACAGAGAAAGATGTTGTCTATGCATTAAGTTTCAGCAAGGGAAGTACCGAAAGGAAAATTTTATGGCAGAAACTGACAAATAAAGGCAACCATGCTCATAATGTTGAAATACTTAAAGATGGATATGGCTATCTCATACCATACAGAAGGCCATCATTTACAGTTCCTGTATCGCAGTATCTCCCTTGTCCTGAATGTTTGGGTTGGTTCATCAAAGCAGAACTGTATAAACACAATAAGATATGTCCTGTCAAACTGTTTGAAAATGCAACACCAAAAATAATTCCCCGAAGAATACAACAAGTAGCAGGAATGTTATTACCAAATAGTGATAATGTTACAGAGGGTATGGCAGACAGAGTGCTATCTAGAATGACTCGGGATGAAGTGGCAGTAATTGCAAGAAATGATGATCTTATCATAAAATTTGGATCCAGGGAATATATGAAAGTTGGTACAGAATCTGCAAAGATCCAGTATGTGAAGCAGAAAATGAGAGAACTTGCAAAACTTCTAATAGAACTTAGAAAGATCAGTAAGAAAAATGCATCCTCCCTAAAAGAATATATTCATCCTTCAAAGTTTGAAATCGTAATCCAGGCAACACAGCAGTTGGCAGACTATAACCTTGATGATAGAGTTCTTGGAAAACCTTCTCTTGCATTAAAGTTGGGTCACTCTCTGAAGAAATGTACTACAATCTGCATGGCTGAGGCAATCAAAAATGAAAACTCTACCAACGAATTAGCAGCTAAGAAATTCCTTAAATTGTGTGAGATACAGTGGGCACAGTCGATAAGTTCACATGCACTTAATACTATGAATGAAAGGAAGAGAAACATGCCAAAATTTCTTCCATTAGTTGAAGATGTTGTGAAGGTAAACATGTATCTGAAAAAGACTGCCACTGATGCTTATAAAGATCTACAAGAAGATACAACCACATCAACCTGGAAGAATTTGAGCGAGATAACGTTAGCCCAATTGATTTTATTCAATAGGAGGAGTGGGGAAATGGAAAGAATGCTTCTAGAAGATTTTAAAGAAGTAAGGGGAGTCAATCAAGAAGCTGGTTCATCTTTGACAAGTTGGGAGCAAAATCTGTGTCGTTTGATTGATAGAGTTGAAATAAAAGGCAAAAGAGGAAGAAATGTGCCTGTTCTATTAACCAAGGATCACTGTAATCAGATAAAATTACTTATCGAAAAAAGAAAAGCTGTTGAAGTCAATGTGGCAAATCCATACATTTTTGCGCCCAGTACGTGCAACAGTATGCCTGAGAAAGTTTGTAACAAAATGTGGCATTGAACATGCTGAACGGTTCACCTCTACAAATTTAAGGAAACAAATTGCTACAATGTCACAAATCTTCAATTTGAAGGACAATGAGCAAGACATCCTTGCTGGATTTTTGGGACATGACATAAGAGTCCATCGAGAGTTTTACAGACTTCCACAGAATACATTACAAATTGCAAAGGTCAGCAGAATTCTGATGGCATTTGAGAAAGGAAATATTGGAGAATTCAAGAACAAAGGACTTGATGAAATAGAAATCAACATAGATGGTGAGTAGTGTTTTATCCCATGATAAATTCTGCGTTTCACTGCTATGACACTCCAACTATTGTTTTTACTCAATCATCGTCACCTTCTTTAGTTGTATGTCAAATATGGAACTAGCATATAGGCTGGTCACCTTTCCCTAAATTGAAATGCCTGAATTTGTTGATGGAATTTCAATCAATGATTATGGGGAATTGTTATTAGTATCAAATATACACTAGCCAACGATTATCAGTATTTGCTGACACTGTTAAAGATAACAACAAAAATTGTCCTCTTGTATATGCCAGCAGAAAAACCAGAATGACCGATAGAATGAACAGTCTATTGTGTATTGATATTAGGTTAGTATTTGTTCAGGAAATAGTTTTTATCAATGACACTGAACAATCTTTGCAGTAGTTATGCTGTAATCTCTTTGAGCACTGTCTTAGGACGAGAATTGAAATAAGTCGTATGATATTTGTCATTTGGCTTACTAACTTTTCAAAATTGTGTGAATTATAGATGAATGTGAGAATGAAGACCTACTGAATACTGGTAATATCATTGAAGATGAGGAATTTCAAGAAATGAATAATAATAATAATAATAATACAGATATAAATGGAAAACTACAAGACAAATGTATGCATATTGATGATGAAGATGTTTCTAAAGGTTTGTTCATATATTTAGTGTTCAGTTTAATTCACCATTTCCTAAGGCACTTGGTGTTCAGTATTTACATGCACTTAATACTATGAATGAAAGGAAGAGGAACATGCCAAAATTTCTTCCATTAGTTGAAGATGTTGTGAAGGTAAACATGCGTATCTGAAAAAGACTGCCACTGATGCTTATACAGATCTACAAGATACAACCACATCAACCTGATAGAAAAAGTATTTATTGTAATAGGGTTTTTGAATGGTTTATGTTGTTTTACAGGTGATGTAGATACAATGAAAGTAGGGCCCTACTCGATAATGAAGAACAGTATATTGGACCTGGGCCATAAAAAACAGCTGTCAGATGATATTGTGAACTCTGCTATTTATATTGCCACAAGAGAGAAAAAGGTATTTATTTTATGTTGAAAGGTTCTGAACAGGTGGAATGGTGATGGCTAAATTGGGAAGCTGAGTTTAAGATTTAATTGCATATTGAATGATAAAGATTTTGGTAAACTTTTACTTATTGCTGCTCAATGGAAAGAAATCTTGTTTTTCTTGTAGATATTCTGTTTCAGGGTATCCCTGACCCTGACAGTGATAATTTGTTCAAAATTGATAGACTTTGTTCACATATCAATGTCACTTTCAATCAAACTTAAATTGGTATGATAACATATTTGGTTGTATTTTCCCCAATATTGCTTTTGTAATTTGATATTTGACTGGTTACCATTGGTATTTGTGTTATTTAGTCTGTGTTTGTTTATGATGATTGTGGAGTGTGGGTCTCTCTGATTCACTTTTCTGTCAACATAACAGCATGGCAGATTAATGGAGGGGATGGGAGGGGGGGGTCTCTGATTCACAACTTCTTTGTTGACCTGACCTCAATGGGAATGCCTTAAATATATAATGATCATCAATGAGATTAAAAAAGTGTTTAACATTTGACACTCATTCATTTATAAGTCACTTGAGTAACTACTATAATCTGTTAATAATTTGTGCTACTATTTAAAGATGCATTCTGATTGACCATTCTCTATGAAAGTTTGTCAGGTCTGTGTTGAGCATTCACAATCGGACGAAATGAATTTTATTTATTTAGATTGAGTTATTCATGCACTGTTCATCATTTTCTGATGCTATCTGACGTGAATATTATGTAAAATACAGTGTATATGTATTGAAATATATTTTTTCATTAGTGCATAATATCCAAAGTGTAGTGCACTTCAACTGTTTTTTAGTACTTATTTCCTCCATTGGTGTCTGCTGTTATGCTTTGTTGCCACAGTTTATTCATTGCTTATCATTAAACATAATCTCCTTTATTTCATTGCTGACAATGTAATTTTATATTGTTTTCAGGCCATTCTTTTTTTTTGACCACAATTTAATGACATCTATTTGTTTGAAGGGTGAAATGGCCAAACCAAAAAAGGTAATTATCATTTAATATTTTCCAGACTAGTCAGCTAGTGGAAATTTGTTTCTTCCATTTAGCAACAATTGTCATGTGTATTATTACTAATGCATACAATGTATTTACAGATAAATCTTTCCAAGTATGAGATGGTAATAGGTGCTATGTTTGAAGGTGGAGAAACAACTAATTCTGGCATAATAAATGGACATTGGACACTTGTGGTAAGTTGTAAAATACTGTAAATAATTCAGGCACCATTTTCAATTTTACAGTTGACTCTAAAATTCTTGTATAATTGTTTTCCATTTGCTTTGCATAAATCCATCAGTACTGAACAATTTTATTAGTCCCCGTTCGAATGATCCGTGCGTCCGTCCGGAGTCATATCTCAGAATCCCTTTGGACCGATTATGTTAATTCTTTGCATGTGCCTAGTATCTTATGTGGGACATATGCACATGCAGTGGTTCAGCGATTCGATTCAAAATGACCGACTAGCAGCCATCTTGTTTTTTGAAAATTTTGTATTTTGGACATGCTTTGTCAGTTGTCATTCAAACTTGGTACATAGATTATACATGCTAAGATACATGTCCATGATGATTTATTTTGCAATTGGATCAATTGAATTTTGCATCTTGTTTTTTTTTTTTTTATGTGGTATCTTGGATGTGCTCTGTCAGTTTTCATTCAAATTTGGCACATACATTTACTTTATACATGTTAGGATGCATGTCCATGACAAATTGTGACAGCCATTTGACTTTTTGGCCTTACTACTATATTTCCACAATTTATGTACCATTTTCATTCGTATTGGCACATACATCGTACATATCAAGTGTGTTTCATAATCAGATCAAAGATGGCAGAATAACGGCTGTTTTTATTTTTGGCCATATTACTACTACACGGAACACGTGTTTTGATGTAAATAAACAATCTGTTGTATACACCACTTGGAACTCAAGTTTCAAGGACACGCTCGCGACAACCCCTCCGCTTTAATATGACGAGCACAAAGAAAACTTTCAAATATTTAACGGGGACTGTGTCATTTTCAATGACTAGTTTATTTCTGTCCAATATGAGAATTGATTTTTGTAATGCTTTACAGGTGGTTAAGCAAAAAAGTCATGAAATAATATATCTGAATTCTACTGGTGAAAGTAAAGAGACAATGGTGACAATTCAGCAGAATTGGAAGTAAGTAGGAAGAGTTCAATTATAATTTATTTTTTTCTGTTTTTGCATAATTTTGTAGATTTTTAATTTAACTCAAAGTTCTGGGATATACTGTAGTATGAGAAATAGGTAGTTATTGTTTGAACATAACTATGTCCCCAAGAGTGTTTTGTTGCTATAACAAAATATTACATACCCCGGTACATGTAGTTGTGGAGCAAATTACCAAGAATTGGATAAGGTTGAATCCATATGCACTCCTACTTCAAGTATTATTCTTGATACAAGTGTTTGCTATAAATTATCAGTAGGATCCTGTGCCACCTACGTGCCATAGTTTACTTACCGTAACACAAAAAATGCACCTAACTCTTGCCCAAGATTTTTCATTTTCAACAACTAAAATATCTGTTATCTTTTAGTAATTATGCAAGTAAGAAGGGTGAAGTCAGTACTTATACTATATTGAAAGTGGATCATACAATGCAAGATGATGCTGTATCATGTGGTGTGTTAGTCATCAAGGTAATTATGGACTTTCAGCTGCATTTAAAATTAAAATAGTGATATATTAAATGTCAGTGAAAATAAATGGTTTTACAGTACTTTCTCAATGTATGTATCATATATCAGGCCGTTGTATCGACAGCAATGTTTATTTTATTGCTGATAATGTCATAATACTTTTCAGTTTGCAGAGCAGTTTGCTAATGGACAGTCTACAAAATAATGTATGACATGG